AACCCAAAAGGTGTAAAAGACAACGTCTTTTCTTTTCTAAGCGACTTCAGTGTTTCAAACAGGCTAATGTCAAAGAGATTAACCCAAAGGAGCTATACTGTAGATGTATAATTGCATACAAATGCATGCTATTGCTTCATGTATTAGTCTTTGTTAAAAAATCATTTTGATATATTTGTTTTAGCAGCAAAACCAGCCCTGGAGGCATACAGGGTATAATTAGAAAAGGGCATGGTGGGGGAGGTATGGCTTATGGAATGAAGCATTGGCCTTAGGATCACAGGTCCTAATTATAATTTATAATTAACCCCATGATTTTTCACAAACAGTCTAAACTAAAAGCAGAAGCAAAATTTACTTTTTAAGAGGGGAAAAAATGTTTAATTTCGCCATTTGCTTTTTGCTTTTTTATAAAATAGTTTCGAAACTTTAAAGCTCAACGTCCGACAAATAAAACTGGACATCCGCAGATGAAAAATATCTAAAAGTTTTCGTGTTAAATATTTATAGTGAAAACAAACAAATGCATAGGCTGTACTGTAAGCCTATGGCAGAAAGAGTCTTTTCTAAAAAGGTGCCATTTGGGGCTTGTTTTAATGTACATATTAATATCCATTTCCCTATGTATGCCATACTCTGAGAGACAGGATGAATAGAGTATTGGTAAAAAAGATCTGTTATCATTCAAATCTGAGGCATTCATGTTGTTGTATGTTGACATTAATCCAAAGAGAGAGACGTAGGCACTGTGTGCCTGACTGCATGGATCTCTAAACATCTACATATAGGTTTTTATTTAAATCAAATACAGGTGCAATACCGCTTTCACAATTTGTCTTCTCCAATGCCTTATCGTTATCCAGGCCACTATAACATACATGCCCTCTGTGTATGCATGTTCATTTTCTATCGTTGCGTGGTAGCCTGACATAACTGCAGAAATTTTACTAGCTGCAGAAAGCTGTGATTCTGTATGTAAAATAAATATCAAATTTAAAGTTGACAGGAAACCTTTGTTGAATAAAAATAACTAGTACCAGCTGGAAAAATAAATTAATTTATGAGGCTTGACCTTCTCTTGAGGATGTCTTTAAGAACCATCAGCTGTGTATTGGAATTGTCTAGGACACAAATGAGTATGAAATTATAGCAAGGCTAGCTTATATAACCTTTCTTGCCCTTTGCAGAAAGAAAAATAAATATGCTTCCTCCAAATGATTCAGTTTTTAAGATGCATTTGACTTTAATGATTTGTGTTTAATTAGGTTTAAAAAAAAAATCAAGTTAATAAATTAAGTGCAAGGCTTTTGGTGCTGTTTATATAGTTCTATCTATATCCCTGCATTTGTCACTAATTAATGAGTTCCTAATGCTTCAGCTTCTGGGGAGATGAGCAACAAAAATTAACATAACTAGTAAATCTGAAGATGTGCAGCTGGGTGATAGTATTTGAAATTTGACAAAAACATCGGAAGTATTATTATTTGTGACATGGCTCAAGATGGGAGATTGTGAGGAGAGTAAAGATGACAGAACTGGTGCTAACCACTGTGACAACAACTTGAAAAGCAGCCGACATGACATCTTTCCTATCATGCTGCCGAAAATGTCAACTTTGTGAAGGACAGTGAGAAAATGGTTTGCCGAAAATTTGAAAGGTAGATTCAAGAGATGCTCATCATGTCAGATGTAATATAGTCCACAGCTGTTTGAGAAAGGAAGTCCTTGCAGTTGTGATGGCTCGCAGTTGGCAGGCCCTTCCAGACATCCGTGCCGCTCCAAAAATGGCTACAGTTGACCTGTAGATTGTCTCAAGTTTGCAGCAGCATGATATACAGGAGCGAGCGGTTGTTTATAGCATGCCGTTCTGTGGCGCAAGGCACTGTGCGGAAGGAAACCTTGCACTTGGGTTAAAATGCCCATGGTTGGCACCCTGGCTTCCAAAAAGGCATGAGAAAAATGCAAGGCCTAATATTTTGGTGCAAACAAAGTGTGGCGGATGCTATTTTTAAAAAGGCTTTCTCTGCTTGCAGCTAGGTGGGTAGGTTTGTATCTCAATGCAGTCGGTTAGGGCATTATATCTTAATCTGGATAAGCTTGAGGATATTAACTCTGAACTAGAAAAGCACAGGGCTGCCCACAGACCCATCTGGAGTTTTCAATTGGGCCGTCCTTTCGAATGAAAACTGCCCAAGCGCAGGAAATGCAGCCCGCTACCTCGAACTTGCAGGATGCTGCTGTGCCAGGGCATTGCAAGAGGCTGGAATCGGTGCTCAATGGCCCGATGCATCCACGTTCAAGCCCACTGTAGTCAGTGGAAAGCCTTCCTTTGCATGCACGAGTTTTGGATTGACCTTGGCAAATGCCGTGGGCCCAAATCTGCTCCCTCTGAAGTCAGTAGAAAATGGGCTGGAGTGCTGAAAGCCATGCCCTCTGCAGGGGGACAGCCATATTGTTTAAATGAATTATTATAATTGATGAATAAAACTAAATTTGAACCAAAAGATTTTTTTTGGACATTTTGAAAAAGAAAGGGTCCTACCTAGTTCAGCTGGCTCTTGGCATATGTGCCAAACCCACCGATTATAGTGGGCTTGAATTTTGTTGAACATTTTAAGAAAGGAAGAGTCCTGCCTAGTTGAGATGGCTCTTGGCATATGTGCCAAGCCCACCAACTATAGTGGGCTTGAATTTTGTTGAACATTTTAAAAGAGTCCTACCTAGTTGAGATGGCTCTTGCCCTATGTGCCATTGCTTGGAAAACAAGCCTGCATTTAGGCTCACCTGACACCTTGCATGACCTTTAAGTAAATCTCTGTCACTTGAGGGTTTATTGACCGAGCCTGTGGTCACTAAACTTCCTCAACTTTTCCAGCCCACTAGAAAATGGTGGCAAGTGCTTTCAGCCTCATTTTCTGCTGTTGCTACCATTAACCTTAACAATTTCCCATGAGCTGTTGAGAACATTGGAGTGGCCAAAAGTCAAAGGAGGGCTTGAAACCTGCCCTTTTGCTACGCAGCGTTCAACAAGGAGCATCTTGAAAAACATGCTGCTCCCGTTGCAAGCAAACTGGATTCCCCCAGGCGCCGAGAAGGGCTCCCGTGCATACCTGAGGGCAGGCGCGCATGCAGCCTGAATGCTAACCACGGGGAAGTCAAAATGCACGGAGCATCTTCAGCTGCTATTTTTTAAATTCCAGCTCTAATTAGTTTCTCATGGCTTGCCTGCTTCTTCAGAATAACTAGACCTAATTATGTACTAATGAGACCAAATTTATATTTCCCAAATTATTAAAAAAAAAAAAAAAATCTGTTCCCCAGCTGAGATGATATTTCCTAAATTCAACTTAAATCCATTTTTGTTTGCAGCTGACATTGGGAAATAAATAGGCAAATAGGAGTTTCTAATGGAAAGGCTGATTTAAATTTAAATGCATCCATTGTAAAATTTGGGCCTCTCTATTTTGGGTTATAACTCGTGGTATTTAATTTCTGGTTAGCACTTAGAGGAAGGCAATGGAAGTCCACTGAGATTTGGTTAGGATCTCTGCTTGTATTTTTAAGAAATACGTTTCTACCTGTATTGTAACATCAGAGCTAATATTTGTCATGTTAAAAGCTTTCTGCGTGTAAGGTCAATGAGAGATGACTGTACAGATTGTATGTTTTTTTTCATTTTTAGAGGGGTTGTTTTTTTTTGGGGGGGGTGGGGGTTTGGTTTAGGGCCTTTTGATTCTTTAAAAGGAAAATAAAGCTAACCAATTAACCCCTGACAGGAGGTTCATTAGAAGCTTTGTAATCCCTTGCCAAGTCCTTTGTATAAATGAACCGGTCTAGTACTAAGGATTTACACAGCTTAAGCTGAACACTGGAGGAGGCCTTTTAGTAAGCACATTTGTTCAGTTTTAAGACTTCTTCCCTTGCCTGAAAAGAGACTGTGCTGGTGTAGGGTACACAGTCATACACCAATCTCTACACTTTTCTTGTCAATAATAGAGAGCAGTGATGTTGATTGTCTAGGCTCCTGATTTCTTTGGCGGATGGATTAGACTAGCCCTCTACGCTCGCCGTGGATTATAACGGGGAGGATATTTTAACGGGGGGAGGAGGAGGCAGCAGGGGGCGGGGGCAGCTGGTATCTGCCTTCATGTAGGTGTAAATCCAGAGTTTGTTTAAATCAGCGCAGTAACGAGGGCTTCGAAACAAGGAGAGGAAGCAATCGGCACGGGGACCGTCCACGTCCCCTACCTGCTCCACAAGAAAAGCAGGGCAGGAAATGTTTGTCTGCACACTGCGCTCGGAGGAAGGTGCAAAATACCCCACGGTAGCTGTGCCTGGCTGCCTCGTTCATAATACAGTCCTGTGCACTGATGAAAGAAGAGCACCTGGCAATTATTCATCCAGGAGCCGATTAAATGCATTGATCGCTTAATATTGTAATGTGTTACATTACTGAAAAAGAGATTTTGCTCTTAAATGCAAACTGATATTTAGACACGTTTCTGTATGCTAGACTAACTGTTCCCTCCTTTCACGAGAAGGAAATGAATGAGTGCTGCAGTTTTATATGCTTATTATCCGTGAGTTTAATACCAGTGTGGTTTGTGGGGGTTTTTTACTATGAATCCCTTTTTGCTTTGATAATGTTGCAGAGCCTTTTTTTCCTATAGAAATTATTTGTTCATTTAATGGAGCGGTGGGTCCAATCCTGCAGTCTCCGTTGCGTGAAAGCTTCCATTGTAGTCAGTACCGTACATGCAGATTTAAGAAAGAACCACGTCATTTTCTTTTATTTTCTGCAATGTGTGGAAAAGCAATGATTTTGCTATTGAAAAGCATACGTGCTACAAGGCGCTCCCTCCCCTAGCACGGCCATTATATTCTGGTTCTAATAGTCGATGACACCCGTGTCCAGAAAATGCAATATCTTGTTTGCTGTACAGATGACTTACCGGGGTCACGGGGTGACGTTTGAGTCATTCATGGCATTTTTCCTTCAGGCCTGATGGAATAGGAACCGTAACAGTAGACGAGAAGGAACGTTTTGAAGAAATCAAGGAAAGGCTCCGTTTACTCCTGGAGAATCAAATCACACATTTTAGGTAAAGACGAGCTGCCAGCTTAGAGCGAAGGAGGGTGCATTTCCTCCAGTTTCTGTCCCACAGACACGGCATCTTAAAAACTAAATTTCCAAGGCAGCAACTTCTTATCTTTCTGCAAAAGCCGTATACACGGTGTCAAACAACCGAGCGTGTTGTGGATGCTGCAGAAGACACAAATGTGTTTGCAGCTGAGTAGCAGAAGTTGCACTCCTTTGAGGGATTTCAGCATGTCTTGCCCACGTAGGCCTCAGACATGGTGAGGACTCAGACTAGACCAATGATTTTAATGCAGTACTGAAATACCCTGCATCTTATTTCTTGCCCTTTCCCATCCGTCCCCTTCTGCTTAATAGTGATCTTTCCCCATCTCCCCCAAATGTAAAGACAGACAGTTATTGTTTTTCTTGCCCCCAGGGATGGTATAATTATGGGAACAACAGATACCACCCGCCTTTATAGGTGATAAGATCCCCTCTGACAAAGGGGCCTTTTCGTGCAGTGGTCATCCCCAATTCTCCAGATGAGGGCTGACATAAAGCTCCATAAAAATCAAATGCCACTTTCAAAAACAAAGTAGTCAGTTCAAGCAATTAGTTATGGCCCGAGATTATGATGGGATCAGTAGTTTCCCAGCTTGAAGTCACTTATCCCATCCTTTTCTGGGAGCCCCTTTTCCCTTTTATTACAATGAAATGGTATTTAACCCCTTCCTGGTAGAGCTAGACACTCTCCCTCCCAGTTGACAGCCAAATCTAATGAGCTGGAAGACTACCTACTCCTACCAGTCACCCATCATTTCATTTTCCCGCTGACGGGAGCCTCGGGCTCCATCCTTCAGACCGCAGATTGGGGCGCACAGACTGTTTCTGAGAGTTTTTCTACCAAAGAGTGAGGGACCTAATCTGATTCAAGCACCAGGCCCTGAGGCAAGGAGCGAAGGGTCTCACTCTGTCGAGCAGGAGCAGAGGGCCCACCTGTCCCATTTCAGAGAGCATCGTTCTTATTGTCACCGTTCAGCTTACTGGCACGTCTGAGCCAGCAAGCCGCGAGCACCCAACTAATCTTTAAAATCGTATGTTTTTCTAGGTATTGCTTTCCGTTTGGCCGACCAGAAGGTGCATTAAAAGCTACCCTCTCGCTACTGGAAAGGGTAAGCATAAGAATAACAAAGCTATTTTAAAATCCTGTAGGCATACACAGTCCCCCATGCAGGAGAGTTTCCGTGGCCGTAAGGTATGTGCACACGTATGCACAGGTCGGACTAGGTAATGCTGCATTATTAATTATGTCCTGTGAATGCTCAAATTGGTTGATGTTGCAATTATATGAGCGAGTGCAGCTGATGGAGAATTTTGAATGCTATGAACCTAATTTTCCCTTTCACGAAACCAGTTTTTTTTCCTTTGGAGATGATAGTCTGTGGAATCGGGGTCACGCCGGTCTAATACCGGTGTAACGAGGTAGTCAGTCTTTTTAAGCCTTATGTTAAATGGTTCCAAAAAAGCTTCCCATCTGCAATAAAGCACTTGGACTGCATCCTCTGTGGGGCCGAAATCGGCCGTTTCTGGACCCAAAAGCCAGAGTTCCTACCATCTGAACCACAAGATCGAGCCCTGTAGTCAGGGACCAGCAGCCAGGCTGCGTGAGCAGTGGAAATGCATGAATTTGTTGAGCGTACAAAAAATCCACAGTGATCAATTATGTGAATGCCTGATGCCACAACAAATCAGTTTTTCTTATGTCAAGGTCCTTATGAAAGACATAGTTACTCCAGTTCCTCAAGAGGAGGTAAAAACAGTCATCCGTAGATGCTTGGAGCAGGCAGCTTTAGTCAACTATACTCGACTATCAGAGTATGCCAAAATTGAAGGTAAGGCAATTTCTTTGTGACATTACAATTTTGCAATGTTTCTAGGTGGGGACTATGGCTGGCAGCTGTTTAAAAAAAAAAAAAAAAAATTAAATACTTTTTTTCACTTGAACAGAAAACAGAATTGGCTCTGGAGCGTTCTTGCAGTGTTGATTTGTTTAAAAGCAATGGAGAGTAGAGGTTGGGTAAAATATTTCTTTTTCTGGGGGAAAAAGAGATGAAACAGTTAACAGACTCCCAGCTTCATTTGATTGTTAGTGCATTTGGCCAGTGGTACAGCATTCATACGCGTGTCATCATTTTAAAAAACAAATTAAGAAATACATGGGATGTCATCTTCATAGCTGGAAAGTAAAATGCAACTAATTGCTTGTGACATTGGAGTGCAGGGAACAATCGAATATAAGAATCAAAAACAAACCAAAAAAAAGCTTTATCTCTGCTTATTGGGTTGTAGCAAACTTAAAATGTCTTTTGCTGGATAGTGTTTCATTGCCTTTCCTTTGTGCCTAGTGGAAGTCATTGATCGTTGGTCCCATACTTGCATCAGATTTCATTCTTGTCACTCTAAATCCAACGTCGCTGATATTACTGACCTTTTAAGTTATGGGGGAGTAATAACTGGTGACCAGAGACACATGTAGCCATCAAAAAGACATTTTAAAACTTGCCAGAGGATATCTTGTTTGTTGGAGCACTATCATTCAATAGATGATTACATGTTAATCACTTTTCATTGTTACCTTGTTGGCTGCTATTCAACAATCTGAAATTCCTGAACAACTTCTCCTGTGCCGATAACTGGGAACTCTGCTCAAAATGAAGTGTATGTTCTGCGGTTGTGTTGTGTGAGATTTAAGAGCTAGATCCATGTTGTATGTCTCTCAGATATTACAGAAAGTGAAGAAATCCCTGTATGATTTGCTCCTGGTTCTTGCTTATATGAGGAACTGGGTTATAACACATCAAATTGTCCAGGTGCTGTACATGACATGTCCTCTCTTTTTCTATTTTTTTTTCTGTCTGACGATGCAAATTGTGTACCAGTGGTAATGAATTCGTTGATATGCATCCAGTGAGAAACACTTAAGAATTGGGCACTAAAAGGATGTTTATCAACTCTTGACTTGGTAATGAGTGACAAAAATAGAGAAGGAATGGAGGTTTAATAAGCACTGTATTATCAGGCAATTTATCGAAGCACTCAACTTCACAGGATATTTTAATTGGTGTTTTCTGTAAAATGCAATGTTTAAATATACTTGACAAGGACGGAGAAGGACTCGGAGTGAAAACAACTTTTGTTTTGATGGCTGCTGCTACCAAATGCTGGCTTCCCTAGGTCTCTGTGCAAATATCCCTAACCCGTTGGTAAGATTTGCTCTCTTCTTTCAGATAAATCTATGCAAAAAACAAACTTTATGATCTGTAAGTAAAAATGCATTCATTTCCAAAGTAGAACAGTTAGTGTGTACTTTCCTTTTGTGCCTCAATTCTTCTTGGTTGTGTTAATTATCTGCCCTCTTTTTTGCACTGTGACTTTTAGGTCTGGGAATACTTTGAAGCAACAAACTTTTTTTTTCCAGCTACCTTTTCAGAGAAATTCTTCATTCCACACTACTTGCTCTCTTCTGCTTCTCTCCTCCCTTATTTGTGATTGGCCACAGCCACTTTTCTATGTTGCCACTATAAAAGTGGCTGTGACACCAATTTCAAAGCATGCTGGGATTGTTACTCCAAACAACCCAACATCCGCCAGCTGCATGCATCAGGTTTTCTTTCATGAGCATAGTCCACGACAAGGTACAAACCAGTTCGCTTCCAAAAGAGTTGCCTCCATGAGATGCCTTTATCTACACAGCATGCGATTTTGAGCCCAAAACGGTTTAAACTTGGCCATCCGAGCATTTCAGAAATTCCTGGCGGCGCATGAGGAAATATTAGCAGCAGAACTGCTTGAGGCTATGTTTATGAAGAAATACCTGCAAAAGCCTTAGATACTGAAGGCCAAAACCCTTAGTATCTCGGAGCCTTAACTCAATGGAACTCTACTTCCTTCTATTCATGACGTTTGGATCATTATATTCTTGCAAACAATCCAGAATAAACCTCTACAATCATGGTCACAACCTCTTCTGTGACTCATGGGCATGCTGAATGGTTAATCCAATAGATCTCCAATTTTAAAGCTCTCCTTTTTTTTTTTTTTTTTTCCTTTTATCCTGTGTGTACCCCAAAATACTCTACAGCTATTTTCCTCTGAAGCTAATATAAAGTTTTCCTCTGACCTATAACCTCTTTACCTCTGACCTAAGCCTCTTGCATGCCCAAATCCTCTTTTATAGGGAAAAAGAGAGAAATGTATGAGCATCCTGTCTTCTGCTTGGCCTCTCAAGTGATGGATTTAACCATTCGTGAGTACCTACCACCCTCCTCTCCATGCTGTCTTCACTCTTTCTGTTTTCATTACTCCAAGAAAATCCAGATCCAAACCAACTCACTTTCCTTGCTTCAAGTCTTTTAGCATTGGCTTGTCTGTTGCTTCTGTCTGTGAAACCCAGTGTGAGAAGTCCAGTCACTTTTTATCAGCCTAAAACAGGTTAGACAATTAAGCCATTTGTTTGTGATGAACTCCGATTGTCTGTAAGTTTTTTCAGTTTATTCTTTATGTCTGTGACCTGAATGCATTTTTACTTTGCTTCTGTGTAACCCCAATTTGTAAAGTGCTTGTCACTGGTACACAATCAAAAGGTAGCAGCTACACTGGGAAACAATGAGCTAGAGGTCAGATAAAGGACATTTGGAAAAAGGCATCCCTTTTCCGGTGTATACGATCTTGAAACGCTCCTGTATATAAGATCATATAAAGCTGTCCTTTCTCTGTACATCAGATCTTACATGTCTTCCGTCTGTTCTCTCTCAAGCAGAAATGCTTTTATTTGTTCTCTCTCTAGATTTTTTTATTTATTCTTTTACACCAAGCTCTGGCTGGGACATGCAAACTTAGCGGTCGCATGTTCCCAGAGCTTAGCTCACTGAGTTCACTAATTTTCTATCCGTGCAGCATTTTCTTTCACCCCTGTGAAAGGAGCCGTTTGGGTGATGCCATGCTTCTGGGTGGTGGGAGTGAAGAGGGCAACTTTTTTTTTTCCTTTTCAAATGTCATATATCACACATAACTGCGGGGCATTTTGGTCCACTTGCTCATTAATCCTGCATATCTGTTCTTGTTTCTCTCTTTTCTCTCCTTGTCGCTCTCTCTCTTTCATATAGAGAATCAAAAGGATGCAGGTGAACAATTGTATATGCATTATAAATTGCTAGGACTGTTGAGTTTTATATATATATACATATATATATATCTTTGTTTTCTTTCATAGCTCCTTAAGATATGTACTCCTATAGACTGAAAACGGAGTTGCCATAATACTTAAGGAGTTAATTTGTGCTGTCTCGACATACATAATCTCTTTTACGCGTGCCTTAGGGTATAGTATAGAGCAGAGCTCGTTTATAGTGAAAGGACACCCTGACGAGGAGACAGGTTTTCAGCGAATAGACATCTATCCCGATAGAAGAAAAAGTTTCCTGTTTTCCAAAGGAACTAAAACTACTTTTTGATGCAGAAAAGTCCGAACGATTTGGCCTGCCATTTGAACACTGAATGAGCACATTTATGACTCAACTAACTTTCATTTTTGTTTTTCACATCTTCTGTTTGATGCCCTACTGGGAAGAATGGTTTTTTGTTAATGTGTACCTAACAACACCCAGTCAGACAAAAGTTGTGTTTGTCTTTTGTTCGTAACCTGTGGCGACTCGTAACGAAGCCGGGGCAGGGCTCAGACCTTCCCGCTGCAATTCTTTCCAGTAGTGCTCCTGGACGGGTGTCACTTTTTTCATGACTCTTACATATCAGGGTTAATGGTTTGACAGTTCTTGACATATCAACCATTAGTTTCTTTTTCCGAAATAGTTTTGATGGTTGTTTCCTCCCCTCCACAAAGGATAAACTTGATTTCAGAACCATTTCCAGAAAAGAAATTAGTTTAGAAAGAGATGCAAAGTCTTAGGCCAGCTCCTGTTTTGGTTTCCACGGGTGCAGCTTTCATGGACAGCCAGATCTAGCCCGGCACCTTGTTTCGTCGCTGTGGTGTTAATGGCGGGTCCTAATAAGAAAGCAACATCCCTTACAAAATGTACAGGTTTTGCTCTTTGCCCAAATATAGGCACAAAAACAAAAGAAATCATGTCATATGTGTGGGCCCATTCATCCCCAATAATTACCTTAGATCCCAGCGTGTCAGTACAATTAAGGACATGGAGCATCACTGGTTTTCAGGCCAGAGGCAGATATGCTGCCTATTTTGTATTTGGGAAATAAGGGCTACCTTTCAAAGGGGCCTATTCAGTTGAGAATAAAACCAGCTTCTGTGTCTCTTGAAACCAGTGAAAGACCACAAAAACCCTAATCCTACTGGCCTTGCTCCCTTAAACCACCCTTTGTTTGTGCTGGTTTCTTTAAGGGAGCTTTGGCTTGTCAGGTACGCAGGATTTGGTCTTAAAATCAAGGAGTGAAGCATTGGCTTGCTTTTCCTCAAGTCGAATGTAAAATGTGACTGCTCTCAATTGTATTGCAACCGCAGAGAGACTAAAAATACGACGCTGAAAACAAGACACCCACAGATATCTCCCCATCTAATTCCCCATCTTTCCTGAAGAGCTCTTAGCTTCTTGCGGGCTCTTAAAAACATGGTTTTTAAATAGAACATTCAACAGATAAATATGCTAAAACAATTAAAAATGAATAATCTGTGGTTATTAATCAAGCAAAAATTGCTAGCACTTGGATGAAGGCATACAAACCCCTAAAATAGGGGTTGTGCTCTGTCTCCTTATGGAAACTGGGAATCCACTGTTCCTTTAGGAAAGAATGACTTCTGGGGAGCAGCGCCCTGTCTGGCCAGGGTGTGTGAAATGCAATGCATTGTCATCCAGAA